GGAAACGCTTCATCGATAATTCAACCCTCATCTCACATCAGCGGATCCACACAGGAGAGACACCCTACACATGCGCTGAATGTGGGAAAAGCTTCAATCAGCGCTCAAACCTTACCACACATCGGAGAATGCACACGGGTGAGAAACCTTATGGATGCTCTGAGTGTGGGGAACGCTTCATTCGTCGTTCAGCCCTTATCTTACATCAGAGAATCCACACAGGAAAGACACCCCACACATGCTCTGAGTGTGGGAAAAGCTTTAGTGGGCACTCAGCCCTTATCACACATCGTAGAATCCACACAGGAGAGAAACCCTACACATGCTCTGAGTGCGGGAAAAGCTTCAATCAGAGCTCACACCTTATCAGACACCAGAGAATCCACACAAGGGAGACGCCCTACACATGCTCTGAGTGCGGGAAACGCTTCAATCAGCGCTCACACCTTATCACACATAGGAGACTCCACATGAGTGAGCAACCTTATGGATGCTCTGAGTGTGGGAAACGCTTCGTTGATAATTCAGCCCTCACCTCACATCAGCAGATCCACAGAGGAGAGATGCCCTACACGTGCTCTGAGTGTGGGAAACGCTTCAGTCACAGTGGGAGTCTTGTCAGACATCAGCGAATCCACACAGGAGAGACGTCCTTCACATGCTCTGAGTGTGGGAAAAGCTTCAGTCAGAATGGAAGTCTGATCAGACATCAGCGAATCCACACAGGGGAGAAACCCTTTACGTGTTCTGAGTGCGGGAAAAGCTTCAGTGATAGCTCAAGCCTTATTAGACATCAGAAAATCCACATGAGAGAGAACTGTAATAAATGCTGTGACTAGGGCTGGCCAAAGATATCTTTTAACCTTATTGTCCCACCACACCATTCTCCAGCAACCCACCTTGTCCCAGTGACCAGTCAGCTGGGCGATGTTTTAAATGTAACGAGCTGGGGCATGTAAAGGCCAACTGCCTTTACATGCCCCAGTACTCCAACGGATTACAGTTCATTGCACAAGGGTCACACCAATGGTCCTCAGGCCCAGATGCCTCCCAGATACCCTCAAAGTGAAGGGAAACTGTGAGTGTGGGCAGGAAGAAGGTTATTGTGTGGAGGGACGCTGGAGCACAGGTGTCAGCTATCCACTAATCCTTAGTGGACCCCAAATTCATCAACCCAGAGGCCCAAGTGACGATTCAACCCTTCAAGTCAAACTCTTTTGACTTGCCTACAGCCAAGTTGCCTCTCCAGTACAATGGCTGGTCAGGAATGTGGACTTTTGCAGTCCATGATGATTATCCCATTTCCATGCTGCTGGGGGAAGACTTGGCCCACCATGTGAAGCTAGTCAAGAGGCTAACCCGCAGCCAGGCTAAGCAAGCCTTCACACGTAGCTCTGTTCCTGAACCTTCTACAAGGGCCCAGTCTGTGTTGTCAGAGATGCAGACTGAGGTGGTGGAACCGGACCCCATGCCGACGTCTGCGACAGCAGCAGTGGATCCAGTCACAGAGACCCAGCCAGAGCCAGGCCCAGAACTGGAACCAGAACCGTTGCTAGCACTGAATCCAGCGCTTGCAACCCCATCTGCAACCCCAACACCAGAGGGCCCCACCGAGCCCGCCCTGGCAGCAGCCGATAAACCTATGCAAGAGGCTCAGCCGGAGTCTGAATCCCAACCTGGTGCACCAGCAGAGAGCGGTTCACAGTCAACGGAAACAGCCCCATCACCTGCATCTCTTCCCGAGGGACCAAGCCCAGGTCCACAATCCAGTGAGGAACTGATGTCTCCAGCATCAAGGGAACAATTCCAAGCCAAGCAGGAAGCAGATGAAAGCCTCCAGAGAGCTTGGATGGTGGCACAGAGCAATGCACCACCTTTCAGCTCTCCTAATCGATCCCGGTTTGTTATAGAAAAAGGACTTTTATACAAGGAAACTCTTTCTGGTGGGCACCAGGAGGACTGGCATCCTCGAGACAGTTGGTAGTTCCAACTAAGTACCTGGTAAAGCTTTTGAGCTTAGCACATGATCATCCTAGTGGCCATGCTGGGGTGAACAGGACCAAAGACCATTTGGGGAAGTCATTCTACTGGGACAGAATGGGCAAGGACGTTTCTACTTATGTACGGTCTTGTGAGGTGTGCTGAAGAGTGGGAAAACCCCAAGACCAGGTCAAAGCCCCTCTCTAGCCACTCCCCATCTTTGAGGTTCCCTTTCAGCGAGTAGCTGTGGATATTCTGGGTCCTTTTCCAAAAGAGACACCCAGAGGAAAGCAGTACATACGGACTTTAATGGATTTTGCCACCCAATGGCCGGAAGCAGTAGCTCTAAGCAACACCAGGGCTAAAAGTGTGTGCCTGGCATTAACAGACATTTTTGCCAGGGTAGGTTTGCTCTCCAACATCCTTACAGATTCGGTAACTAATTTCCTGGCAGGGACCATGAAAAGCCTTTGGGAAGCTCATGGGGTGAATCACTTGGTTGGCACCCCTTACCACCATCAAACAAATGGCCTGATGAAGAAGTTTAATGGAACTTTGGGGGCCATGGTACGTAAATTCATAAATGAGCACTCCAATGATTAGGACCTAGTGGTGCAGCAGTTTTTCTTTGCCTACAGAGCTGTACCATACTCAGTTTAGGGTTTTCACCATTTGAACTTGTGTATGGCCATGAGGTTAAGAGGCCATTATAGTTGGCAAAGCAGCAATGGGAGGGGTTTATGCCTTCTCCAGGAACTAACATTCTGGACTTTGTAAACAACCTACAAAACACCCTCCGAACCTCTTTAGCCCTTGCTAGAGAAAACCTAACAGATGCTCAGGAAGAGCAAAAAGCCTGGTATGATAAACATGCCAGAGAGCGTTTCTTCAAAGTAGGGGACCAGGTCATGGTCTTGAAGGTGCTCCAGGCCCATAAGATGGAATCATCATGGGAAGGGCCATTCATGGTCCAAGAGCGCCTGGGAGCTGTGCACTATCTCATAGCACCCCCAAAACCTAAAGCCTAAGGTGTACCATGTTAATTCTCTAAAGCCCTTTTATTCCAGAGAATTAAAGGTTTGTCGTGTTGCAGCCCAGGGAGGAGGTGATGCTGAGTGGCCTGAAGGTGTCTACTAGGAAGGAAAAAGTGACGGTGGTATGGAAGAGGTGAACCTCTCCATGACCCTTGGACATATGCAGCGACAGCAGATCAAGGAGCTGTGCACTATCTTTGCATTGATGTTCTCAGCCACCCCAGGATGGACCGAATGGGCATACCACTCCATTGACACAGGTAACGCTCGCCCAATTAGAGCCCAACCTTACTGGGTGTCTCCTCAAGCCAAAACTGCTATAAAAAGGGAGATCCAGGACGTGTTACAGATGGGTGAAATCTGCCCCTCTAACAGTGCATGGGCATCTCCAGTCGTTCTAGTTCCGAAACCAGATGGGGAGATACACTTTTGCATGGACTACCATAAGCTAAATGCTGTAAGTCGCCCAGACAACTGTCCAGTGCCACGCACAGATGAACTATTAGAGAAACTGGGACGGGCCCAGTTCATCTCTACCTTAGACTCCAAGGGGTACTGGCAAGTACCTCTGGATGAATCCGCCAAGGAAAGGTCAGGCTTCATCACCCATGTAAGGCTGTATGAATTTAATGTGCTTCCTTTTGGGCTGTGAAATGCATCTGCCACTTTTCAAAAACTTGTAGATAGTCTCCTAGCAGGATTAGGAGAATCTGCAGTCACCTACCTTGATGATGTGGCTATCTTTTCTGATTCATGGGCAGAACACCTGGAGCATCTGCAAAAAGTCTTTGAGCGCATAAGGGAGGCAGGACTAACCATTAAGGCTAAAAAGTGTCAAATAGGCCTAAACAGAGTGACTTACCTTGGACACCAGGTGGGTCAAGGAACTGTCAACCCCCTACAGGCCAAAGTGGATGCTGTCCAAAAGTGGCCTGTCCCAAAGTCAAAGAAACAGGTCCAATCCTTCTTAGGCTTGGCCGGATATTACAGGAGATTTGTACCGCACTACAGCCTAATCGCCGCCCCACTGACAGACCTAACCAAAAAGAAACAGCCAAATGCAGTTCAGTGGACTGAAGAGTGTCAGAAGGCCTTTAACCAGCTTAAAGCAACACTCATGTCTGACCCTGTGCTAAGGGCCCCAGACTTTGACAAACCATTCCTAGTAACCACAGATGCGTCCGAGCGTGGTGTGGGAGCAGTTTTAATGAAGGAAGGACCAGATCAAGAATTCCATCCTGTCGTTTTTCTCAGCAAAAAACTGTCTGATAGAGGAAGCCATTGGTCAATCAGCGAAAAGGAATGTTACGCCATTGTGTAAACACTGGAAAAAGTACGCCCATACGTTTGGGGATGGTGTTTCCACCTGCAAACCGACCATGCTGCGCTGAAGTGGCTTAATACCATCAAGGACAATAACAAAAAACTTCTTCGGTGGAGTTTAGCTCTCCAAGATTTTGATTTTGAAATACAACACGTTTCAGGAGCTTTTAACAAAGTGGCTGATGCACTCTCCCATGAAAGTTTCCCAGAATCAACTGGTTAAAATCATCCTTGAAATGTGGAAAATATTGTAAATTTTTTTTATATAATCAGTAGTATATCTAGAGATGCATGTGTCTTATTAACTGTTTTCTCCTAGAGCTCCAGGAAGAAATCACAGCTAATGTGGTACAGGCTGTCCAGCACCGTCTGTGATTTGGGTGGCGCATCATAACCATACAGCTAAGGGTAGCCTAGAATTCCTCCTTACCTGTAAGGGGTTAATAACCTGGTTGGCACCTGACCAAAAGGACCAATGAGGAAAGAAGATACTTTCAAATCTTGGGAGGGGAGGCTTTGTTTTTTGTGTTCTCTTGGGAAGCAGAGAAGCATCAGGTCAGAAAACTCCTTTTCCTATAAACCATCCTAAACGTCTCTCATATTAAACAAAATTGTAAGTAAAAGCCAGGCAAGGCGTGTTAGATTATCTTTTGTTCTGTTTGTGAATTTTCCCTATGCTAAGAGGAAGGTTTATTCCTGTTTTTTTTTGTAACTTTAAAGTTTTGCTTAGAGGGGAATCGTCTCTTGTTTTAAATCTTATTACCCTGTAAAATTATCTTCCGTCCTGATTTTACAGAGGTGTTTCTTTTACTTTTTTTTCCTTTATAATAAAAGTTCTGTTTTTAAGAATCTGATTGGGGTTTTTAGTGTCCTGGTCTGTGCTCACCTTGTTTACTCTCAAGCCTCCCCAGGAAAGGGGGTGAAGGGCTTTGGGGGATATTTTGGGGAAACAGGAACTCCAAGTGGGCCTTTTCCTAAATCTTTGTCTAACTCACTTGGTGTGGTGGCAGCGATACCTTTCCAAGGTCAAGGAAGAATTTGTGCCTTGGGGAAGTTTTTAACCTAAGCTGGTAGAAATAAGATTAGGGGGTCTTTCATGTGGGTCCCCACATCTGTACCCTAGAGTTCAGAGTGAGGATGAAACCCTGACACCATGCACTTGGCTCCCAAAGCAGTTGTGGCCCAGGCCCTGCAGGAGGTCGCTCCTGAAGATATCTCCTTCCTAATCAGGTGCATATTGCCTATTATTTGGGAAATAGAATCCCTATCTAGGTAGAGATGGGAAAAATGGAAGTGACATTTCTGTTCAGCTCACCTCTGGGAGATGCTGCAAATGTGTAGAAAATGAAATCCATGTTGAATGTGATAGAGCTGCAGAAAGACACCTATTGTTAATAGATACCTGACATTTGGTGTCTTACAGAGATTGTAAGCTGCACCTGCATTTAGTCCCTAATTTAAATCTGTGCCCCCAGATTAAAGAAATAAAAAGGCATATTTGGGGCATTTATACCTCACTATCGCTACTGATATGTTGTGTGGTTGGTGAAGAATTCTACACCAGAGAAGTGTAAAATTACTCCAAGGAAGGTCAAAGATTTGACAAGAGCTTGGGTAGAAATTGCAGG